TAAATAAATAAACAAATAAATAAATTATATTTACTAAATATAAATTAGTATATAATTAAATTAGTAAATAAATAATTAAAATTAAATTAAATAAATAAATAGATAAATAAATAAACAAATTGATAATTAAATAAATACATGAATATATAAATAAATAAAAAATTAATAAATAAATAAATAAATAAATAAATAAATATAAAAATAAATAAATAAATAAATAAATAAATAAATAAATAAATAACTGAATAAATAAATAAATAAACAAATAAACAAATAAAAAAACAAATAAATTAGTTTTTAAATAAATAAATAACTAAATAAATAAATTAGAACATAAATAAATAAAATCAATAAATAATAAAGTAAAAAAAAAAATAAATAAACAAATAATAAATGAAATAATAAAATAAATAAATAATTTAGTAAATTAAAACATAAATTATTAGAAACAAATTAAATAATTTATTAAATAAATAAATTAATTAAGTAATAATTAATTAAATGAGTAAATAAGTTAACAAAGAAATAAATAAATAGGTAAATAAATAAATAATTAAAGAAAGATATAAATAGGAAAAAAACGAATAACTAGTTATATACATAAAAATTAGGTTAATTAATTAATAAATAAAGAAATCAATAGTTATGCACATAAGGAAATAAATAAATATGTAACTAAAAAAATAAATGTGTAACTAAATAAATAAATATATAGATAGATATTAATAAGAAATACAGACATAAACAAAGAATTATATACATAAATAGTACAAACCGTAGTTGGGCCTTGGCTTGATGGAAATTAGATTATGTACATCTTAAATGAGCTCCCTTAAAAAATTTCTGTAAACCAGTAACAGCAGCTTCTTGACATGTTAAAGTAATAATTTTAAAACTTCTTGCCATGTCATGTGCCTAAATTTTAAACATTTTCTTAATAAAATCCCGTGACTTGCGTAAACACTTCACAAATCAGGCAACCGAGTTGTGTACAGGTAGTAACAGCCACTCTTATGTAACAGTCACTCTAGCTTACTTAGGCTAAAAATAATGTAGCCTAATTTTCGGCGCAATCCCGAGAATCATGCTATTATTGTAATGCTAATGGGCGAAAATGCGTTGTGAGAAGGGTTGGATACAAATACAAGCACTGAAAATGAGTTTGCTTTAAGATTATAAAAATGAAAATATTGCTTTAAATTTTAATTAAAATAAATAAATTCGGAGTTGTTTTAGGGAGTTGCTTGCTTTTACTGCCTACAATTAGACACACGTTTTATAAGGTTTGTATTATTATACTCAAAATAAGGTAACTGAATATATATGCAATTATATTGTAGCTTGTTAAAAGAGCAACATTTGTTGCATATTTTCGGGCCTTAAATTAAAATTTAAACCACCAAAAACCACCATTAATTAGCAAGTAAAAAGTTTGAATAACCACAATATAAAGTAAACTAAAGACGCTTAAAAATGTAGCTTAAGTGTATACAACTTTCATTGCTTATCAACCGTTTTTCATAGCATACATTTAGGCGTTTAACATAAAATGCATAAAAAAATGCTTTTAAATATGTAAAATATACTATTTAACATTTTTAAGTACTCACAATTGTGTGTAACAACACAAACACGCCGTGCTTGTCATTGATTTTTGCGCATTCTTGAAATATTTTTCATCTGTCTGGCTGCAAAACTTAATTTAATTATTCACCATATATTGGTTTTCGACTTTTGGCGAGATTTTAATTAAGTTTTTGGCTGCGCATTTAGGGGTTGGAAAAACACAAAAATTTGCAACCGCATCATTCCCGTTTACAATATCCTCTTCTTATTGTGCGCCTTAAGGTATGCTCTTAAATTATTGCGCATTAAAAGGTTTACCATGCTCTTCATCAATTTGTTTCTTCTTCTCACTTGCGCACTGCATTAGTCTATTGCTTTTAAGAAATTTCAATTATCTCCCGCTTTTCTTTTCCATCCCAAGAATTTCATAAATTGAACACTGTCGAACGCCTAAAAGCATAACTTGTAATTTCCAGTAATTAACGCCTCTTTGGCAATTCCCGGTATGAAATTGTCATATTTTCAGTTTGTTTGCTTTAGCATTTGGCTTTGTAGACTTTGTTATTAACTGTCGCACTGCGTAGATGACAAAATTCAAATTTCCTTTAATTAGCAGTTGGCAGACGTTATTGCGTTGAGCTCGGTGAAATAAGAGATTTTAAATAATTCATATATTTCTACACACTCGGAACAAAATGGTATTTTGAAAAATTCAAAAATATATTTTAAAGGCATTAAATTGTTATAAATAATTTTTAGCTTGTTCTACTATAAATAAAATAAATATAATCGAGTAATACTTTTAACAAAAGTTTGAGTATTGAAAATTATTTGAAAAAATGTAAAGCTGTAAATTCTTTAAAATTAAATTAATTTAAGTTTATTGCATTATTGACACTGGTATATTTTGCAATTTTAGGCTATTCAGATCCTTTTTATTAAATTATATTGATTGGATGGCATAATAAAATACAATAGTTCCTCATTCTCAACTCCAGATACTGTTCCTTTATCCAAAGTAAAAACAAATTACACCAAGATAAGTTTCCATGTCAGATATGAAAATGTCCAGTCACTCGGATGGCACACAAATATATCAAGGAAGCATCGTGAAGATGAGTTTCTCGTTTATAAAACAATTTCAATCGATTCGTTTGGAAAGTTTGGAAATGTTATCGTTAAAGCAATTATCAAAATAAATTTTATTCCGTTTTTACTCGAAATGTAACAGGTATGTTACAGGATTAACAGACAATTTTAAGGCGTTAACAGATATGTTACAGGGTTAACAGACAATTTTAAACCCTTAACAGGTATGTTACAGGCTTAACAGACATTTCTAAAGCCATAGCAGATATCTTACAGGGTTAACAGACAATTGTGAAGCGTTGGCAGATATGTTACAGGGTTAACAGACAATTTTAAAGCCTTAAAAGATATCTTACAGGATTAACAGAAAATTTTAAAGCGTTAACAGGTACGTTACAGGGTTAGCAGACAATTTTGAAGCGTTAACAGATATGTTAAATGGTTAAAAGCAATTTTAAAGCCTTAACAGATATGTTGCAGGTTTAACAGACAATTTTAAAGCGTTAACAGATATGGTACAAAGTTAGCAGACAATACTAAGGCGTAAACAGATAATGTTAGAGCGTTAACAGATAACATTAAAGCATTAACAGACAATTTTATAAGATTAACATAAAAGTATGCAGTTAATATCATTGCAAGCAGCCATTTCAAATATAATGTTAATGACGAATCAACGAGGTTTCAACAGTAACAATTTCATTTCGAAACAAAATTACTTTTTTTATGTTTTTTTTTTCATTTTAATAAAGGAAAATTACATCGTTTGCCGAAATGTTAAGTAAAATAATTTTTTAACATTTTCAAAGAAGCTCTTGAATTACGTTCCGATAAGAGTAGATTTGCATCAAATGTGATGATGAGCGACTTATTTTTTGTCTTAAAATAGGCGCCGGTTTCAGCAAGACTATCGCAGCCAGTTAAATTTCCAGCCGGTGTGCATTTCTCGAATTTTCCGAACGGTCAATAGTCGCTGAGCGCCAAATCTATCAAATATGCTGACGGGGGATGATGAATTTTGTTTATTTCGTCAAGATGCGGTTGGTTCTTTGCAATATCAGCCTTCCGGGGTTCCAATAACGCTGTATCATAAATACTCAATCCCTTCTCAGTAAAGTCAATGCTTAAAACACTTTACATCACAAAATACTAAGAGCGAAACCTTTCCAGCAAATTTCTGTGCTTTCGTTTGATATGTGGAAGGTTCAACCGGTTTCTACCCAATCAGACGACGATCGGAATGAAGTCCCATTTTGTCGAGTTTTGCACTTTGACTGACACCTACATCCATATAAAGTCCAGCTCAGACAACAACTGAAGCCAGCTATCATTCCATGACCTCAACAATTGATCGTAGAAATCTAAAGCTTAGTGAATGTATTCGGTGTGTGATGTAGACAGCTAATAAGGAAGGATTTTCTGGGATGGGGAGCTCGGACTGATCTGTTCGAAAAGGTTTAATTAATTTTTAAAACATTCGATTTTGATGGGAATCACATTTTCTCCAAGGAGGTGATGAGACTTGAGACTGATCTGTTCAAATATTTTTTTTATCACTTGATTAAAATGAAAATTGCAGATAAGAAGCCTATGGTTTATACTTTTTCTACCGGCAAGTGGGCCTGTGGTCGTTCGAAAAACCGTATTCATAAATCGATTTAAATGAAATGGGGTAGGTAGCACAGACAAAGGTCGCTTTTAATCAAAGAAAAAACATAATAAACATATATTGACCGCTAAAGTTAATTCTGTTTACAACTTATGATATGGAAAGTGTTTGAAGAATGTTTTACACCAAACTTTCGAAAACTTGACAGCTCGCTTGAGACTTTCTTGTCTTCATTTTTAGAATTTTTCTGTTTTCAAATAAGATTAATATTAACCACAATATAAATACAAATAAATTTAATGCAATGGTGTTAAATATTAAGATACCTGAGAAGTGTAGAATGCGTCTAAAAGTATGCCTAACAGCACAATTACTTTTGATAAAATTTATGTTTAGCGGTTTGTAAATTTTAGATTTAATAAAGTTTACTTAAAATATTTGGTAGCTAATTGAATGATAAATTGCTCTTCAAATCAATTAGTAATGGTGTTTAGAAAACCGAAATGCGCCTAAAGGTAGGCCACATTCATTTCTCAACAAATGTAAGTATTTAACCAAATTTCACAAATTTCTCTTGCAATTGAATGAATATTATTTATATTTTAATTAATTATTTTGTTTGCTTCTACAAAAAATATTATTTCCGCAATTTGTTGGCAAATTTTCACATATTCTCGCAATGCGCCGCACGAGCATAGAGCTCAATTGAAAACAGCTTTTTGTTGTATACTTTTAGGCTTTACCTTTCAGCAGCAATATAGTAGTGCATTATATATATTGTGCTTAAAACAGCAAAGAATGCGTTAAATATAAGTGAAATTGACTGAAATTACAGCGAGAAATACTCCAAATATTCTATATAAATAAAAAAAAAAAAATAAATATTGCTTGTGAAAAGCTAAAAGCTTACTTCGAATTGAGCTACAGAAAATCAACTTTGGAGTCGATTCGTGTATCGGCTCAGTTAGTCTCGTCATTTGTGTATGTGTGCGCGCGTGTGTGTGCGCATTTGTCGCTTGGCTATTAGCAGTGGCTTCTTGGCGTAAAATGCCGCTCTGCGCCACTACATTACTATGATGGAGACATTCATTGTCCTTGGCCTATGTTTCATACTATACGAAGCACTGGATTTCTTTCAAGGATGCATGCATAGTTCTGCATCCAATAATTCAACCGATCAAATTGAGGCCTATCGCCGTCAATTGGACGAGCAGCGTCAACAGCAGCAACAAGAGCAATTCATAGCGAATTTAACGCCGCTCTTGGGCGCCCAACTTTTGGCGGCCACCTCCAATGTATCACTCTCGCCCAGCGACTCTACAGCGAGCATTATTAGTGAACAATTACGTGCGCAACAACAACGTGAGCAACTCGAACAACTAGAAGGCGCTAGCGTACGTAGTGCCAGTGTTGCTGGCAGCAATACAGCAGCCGGCGCTGATAATTCGACAAGTACACCAGCGTTACACAGCAGCAGCGGTTTGGGCAGCACTTTCGGCTCGGCGGGCGGTAGTGGTAGTTTGAGCGTGGCGAGCGGTAGCAGTAGTGGTGCTGCCTTTCGGCCCGCCTATCGCAGCGCCTACGAATCGCAGGAGTTGTACGCCACTTCATCGCTGCCACGCGACTATTATTTCTTGCAACAACAACAGCAGAAGAACAAACACTCAGCACGTTCGCTATTCTCGAAATTTGGCGCATCGAATTCGGATAATCGTATCTTTCCTGAGACCACAACGGCGCTGGGTGTGCCTGCAGGCGTTGTAACCCAACAACCGGTTGCGGGTGCAAATCACTTCGATTGCTTATTACCGACAACATTGCCTGCCTCACCACTGGCGGTGGACTTGAAACGCGCTATCTTGAGTAAAAATAATTATAACAACAAAAGTAGAAACAATAATAAAACGTACAACGATAGAAGACGCGCGCCGCCTGCAGTGGAGAGTGTTCAAGTGCATGGTGTGGCTGTAATAGCCAGTCCGTCGCGTGATCCACCGAATCCAAATGCAACAGTAAACGCAATAACAACAACAACAGCTACAACCACTACTACTACTTCGAATCAACGAAATCGCATTGCGAGCGCGTCCGTTACGCGTGCGCACGACAGTGACGCCAGCACATCCGATTGTGAGTCAGATACGAGCGGTGATTCGTCGGACTCCTCGGCATCCGCTTCGGCCGGTTCCGCGTCGCTAGCTTCGTGCGGTGAGGACAGTGATCCCGGTTTGGGTGAGGAGCGTGAGTTCGGTTTGTCCAATTCGTGTTCGTCGTCACATGCGGACTTTCGGGAAATCGAATGTGAGCGCTTGCGACGCAAGTGTGTGAGTGTTAAGCGTATCTATAGTATATCGGAGAAGTTTTAAAGACGTGGTAGTGCCAAAAAACCAAAAACAAAAAAAAAAAACAAAAAAAAAGAAACAACAAATAAACAAAGAAAGCATATGGATTGTGAGTTGCAAGTGCAGCAAAAAGTCTCGAAAAAAAGGTTTGAATTGCTTTTGCTTTAATCACGCAAAGCAGGAAAGTAGAAATTGCGTAGCCAGTTTTAAAATATTTTTGTGTATACTATATTTGCGCTTTACAGTGATTATAACCGTTAAAATAACTACCAAATACCTAAGATTCTTACACATTTGTCAGCGTCACTAACTGGGAAAAGTATTGCGTCAAAAAATAATATTTTCAAAACACCAGTAGACATTAGTAAACTGTTTAATAACATTTATAGCATACTTTTTGGCGCAATATTTCTCACAATTGTATAGCTAACAACGCTGTGAAGCTCGTTGGTATTTTTTGCCATTCAAAGCCATTCTAAAATCGTTCAGCTCACCTCACTTCGCCTATTCACAATGTTATTGAGTTTATTCGCAAAGCATTTTCACTTTTGGAATTATTTTTTACACTTTTAGAATATATATATTTTTTCTTATTTACATTCACTTGTTCACTCCAAATTAACTTTTTCCACTTTTTCACATACGCATACGTTCAGTACTAAAATATTTTCATTGTGTTTATAAGAATGTCTCTTTGTATTCTAGCAGTGGCTTTCAGCCTTAAAGCGCTGCTGGCTTAAATTTTATTGAAAATGTAAGTAAGTAGAATTTAATATTATTTATTTCAAGCTGGATTTTAAATATTTATTTAATAAAAAAAATATATAATAAATATAATATTAAATTAATAATACTTCTCATTACGAGTGACTTATAGAGCTTCTTTTATGTTTATCGAGAACCTGTTGGCAAAAGTAGCTCTGCATAAGATTCCCAGTTTTACAGAATTGTTATTGGTACTTACACTGGTGCCCAGCTAGATACAACTACAAAGTTCCAACTTTCAATAAAGGCAATGTAATCATACTGATTTTGTTTTGGTCTAAATATTGGCTATTTGACCCAAAAAATAGTATTTTTTAGTTACAAAAAAGCATTGATCGTAACCTTATAAATGCAAAAATCAGTTCCCATTTGCCTTCCGATCATTCGCCAGTTATGATCGAGTTATTCGATCAACCAATTTTAGCTGAGAAACCATTTCGCCTGACAACCTGACAACGTCCAGTACAAATTGACTTTAGAACAAGCAGCCGGAGGCAAGTGGAAGCTGAAATAGTTTTTGAATTGGATTAATTTATTCCACTGCTTGCTCTCAATAGCGGCCCTAGTGACAACACCAAAGTCGACAGAGAGTCTTGGAAGTACTTAACGAACCACCAACAGTCTAATTGAGCGCCTTCTTCTCGAAAAACGTAGAATGCGCAGTAAAAGCTGCTGAGAACAAACTGAGTAGAGTGTCAAAAGGGGATAAAGAGACGCACCCGAAGATATTTATTTTACTTTAAGGCCGTATTCTTTTCAAGGAAATGCACTTTGGAAAGCCGAAATGACCCACAGAGAACCGGTAATTAGGCATGTTGTAAAAAAGAAAAATCAAAATGCTTTACAAATGGCAATGAAAAATTTTCCGATTTCATCTTACTCACTATGTCTCTAGCACTCTTTCCGATTTGATTACGAGCTCATCTAAGTTGGAGGTCAAAGCAAAAATGTCGAGCTTCTCCTCCAATTCGTAGTTTTGCGTCTTAATGCTTTCCAACAAATGGACTGACCTACAGTTTATACTAAGCCGCCTCTGAATGGCTCAATTCGGGTTTTCCAGAGAACATGGTACACCTACTGTAGAACTGATCCATCGCATTGGGACTCACGCATTGGATAAAGGACTTATAAACAACGTAACGATCGCCCAAGTAAACAAAATTACATACCTCGACAACCACCTAGATAAGCTACTGACCTGTGGAAGAACCATATTTTTGCATAAATTACTCACTTCAAACTTAAAACCTCGAGCCTAAACTAATTACTGGGTAACGAATTCAGCTCTTTGCTTGGATATAAATAATCGCTTTTCAAAACTCGTTATAGTTAGTTATTGGAATGTCTTTCCCATCATCATCAGTTGCCGACTCGGTTTCGGCATATACGGCTGTTGTAGTCTTACTGTCATTAAGCGGACTAGAAAAGTTTTACATCCATAAGCTCATTATGCCCTGCGCATCGCTCACGAGATCACCTCTGTGACTCCTTCAAGAGCTTACTCCGGTCTTGAGACCTTCTGTAGGTTTCCGTATCTTTGCGTAGAGTTTTTGAATGCTAACTTTGTTATCCAGCTTCTTAAGCTCTTCATAATCTCTCATTTCAGAGTCACTTTAATTTTTTCTGCTTACCCGTTTTGATACCCTCGTCAACTCTTCATATAGAACCCACACCACACGTTTTGTAGTCGATCGTAACGTCGCGAGTTAACCAGGTATTTTTCCCTTCACTGCAACTTGACAAAGTTCAGCACACAACTGTTGTTGCTGTAGCCGCTAAAGTAGTTTTTGATAAAGGTTGCAGTAGTGTGGTCCTTGGTCATATAAAAATCCGGGTAGCTCCGGTATAAAGTCTGACTGTCGTGGGAAATATTGGCTTTAAGTCGCTTCTTACGACGGGCATGCCTTATCGCAGATAAATTCTTGAACCCCTAACTTACAGCGGTATCGCACAAGTACTGTTTCCTAGTGCCGATATCTTCTTCTTATTTCTTCTTCATCTTATTTTTTTTCTTCTTCTTTTTCCTATTCATCTTATTCTTCTTCTGCAGAGAGTAAAGAAGAAGATCTACTGGCCAAGATACTGCATAACGATTGAAAATGTCAGCTACAGTCAGCTCCTTCTCCACCTGGTCTTCCAAACGGAGTGGAGACCTTGCTTTTCCTCTACTTCTACCGATTACTACAGGATCCACAGGTTTTAAAGCAGGAGATTTCTTATCCATCTGGACCATTTGACCTAGTCATCGTAGCCGCTGCCTCTAAATTCGCTAAATTATCTTGTCGCGGTCAGTCTTAGAGAGCTTAAAATACAGCTTATCGATGTTGATTCGTTCGTTGTATGTAGTGGCGGGCGATTTCTTGGTTCGAGTCGATGTTAGATTCTAAAAGCTTATGAATATCTAGAAAGCTGTAATGATGCCTCCCGTCTGTCACACTAAGATCGCTCTTATTGGGGTTATTACGATCAGGACACATCCATAAAACGTGAGTTTGAAAACCTGGCGGAGGCAGTACTTATATGACCTGCATTCTAGGTGCTTACAGACAACATTTTGGTTAAATTTTCTTTTGTTTCCAAAGAGCCACGCTTTAATGTGGATTGTGGCGAGCTGATAAGGCGCGAGTTGATCCAAGGTGACAGTGACGATGTTTCTCTGCCATTTCACTGTATTTTCGCTTATATTTGTATGACCGCTCTAATTGATTTCAGAAGCGCCCATCTTTCTCAAGCATTGTCGCTTTAAATGCACCTCCTGGACGGCAGTAAGCTTTAAGTTTCACAACGACATCAAGGATCGATCAAGAATGCATGCCCTTAAGTCGAAATCCTTAAAATCTTCGTAGGGTGGTCATCAAAAGCGGGCCCACCAAGAATAGAATAAGAGATAAGGAAAAATAGAAAGACTTAAAAAAGTTGATACAAAAACCATCAGTAGGCAAAGATAAAAATAAATATAAATATGATAATAAAGATAGACACAAATAGATGGAAAAGCATAGATAAATAAATAAATGGAAATAGATAAAAAAGATGGAATAAAGGCGACGTAATAACGATATGAAGTTATGGCAAATCTAACTGTCTAAATGTACTAAACACACATACATATGTATGTATATACTACATGTTGCAGTACATATGCGTTTATGTACATATTAAATATAGAATATTCGTTTTGATATTTCTGCGCAAGAAATCCACAAAATCCTTAGATACACTTGTGCATATATACATACATACAAGGCAGCTTTTATATTCTTACTTTATTAAAACCAATTGAATGAGCAACACAATTTTCGCTTTATTTTTACAGTTACAATTTTGTAACTGTTTGTTGAGCTGGATATTTCACGTAGCTTACAGCATACATACATGCAAACATACATATAAATATATACATTGTATTACATAGATACATTTTTATGCGACTCGTCGCTCCCGTGGCGTTACTGAGAGCTTTTGTCTGGTGTCGTTATGGCGCCAGTGTACGGTCGATGTCAAATGGTGACAGCAACAAACAGCGGCAACAAAAAAACAAAAATGTGTTAGCAACAACAACAACAATGCTGACATTACAACAAAATAAAAGTGTATATAGACAGACGGGCAGAGAGAGAGGGAGAGAAAGAGAAAGGGACTAAAGTCAGTGAAATGAACAAATGACGCCAACGCTATTTTCTACGCGCCTTATGCACAATAACAACATTGGTCATAATAACAGCAATCGATGTATTCTTTTTTGTTTTTTTTTATTTCTCATTTTTCCTTTCTTTCTTTTATGTCATACCTACAATAATAGTTAGTTGTTTGTTATGCGCTTAGACTTCTTTTGTTTAGGTTGCGCGCTTTTGCTTTTGTTGCTGGGGGAAAAAATGCAATTTTCTAGTTTTATGCGCATATTGAAGTTGTTGGAAAGAAGAAGCATTTGCAATGAGATTGTGGGGAGTAGCGCTGATTGGTAAAAGTGCTGGAGAGGCGCAGGCGCCAAAGAGAGGAGAGACAACAACTGTTTTGCTTGCGTTAAAAAACGCTGAATTCTCAAAAAAAAAAAAAAAAAATTAAAAAAATTAAAAAACAACTAATAACAAAAAATGAGTATTTGAAATATAAATTTCCGGAACAGCGCTAAAATTAATCGTGCGAATGTCAACGAAATAAGTTAAATTAAAAAAAAAGCTTCGAAATTTTTTGTGCTCTTGTAGAAAATTTTTTTTTTTGTATATGAAAATTTTTGTAATTAAAATAAAAATTAACAAAAACAAAAGTTAATTAGAACAAAAATTAATCAAAACCAAAAATAATTAAAAATAATAATTTGATATATTGAAAATTTAGAAAAATGATGTTAAAAATAAGTAAATTACTAGACTTAAAATTTCTTTAAACTTTTATATTTTTCTTATTAATTATTGCTTGTGTGAATTATTTTCTTTATGTTGTAAAATTTTAAATTAAAAGAAAATAATTTTTACATTTACTGTTTTTTTTAGTAATTTAGAAAAATAATGTAACAAATATTTATTTTAAAAGTCTTAAAAATTTTAAATAATCTTTTATCAATTACTTTTTTAAACATATTTTTTTAATAAAATGTTTATAATATTTTTAATATTAATTAATGTTTTTTAATAACTTTTTGTAATACCATTTTTTAATAATATTTTTTAATATCACTTTTTTTTAATAAATTTTTTCTAATTTTATTTTCTTAATGATTTTTTTATTATATTTTTTTTTCAAAACACGTATTTAAAATTTTTTTTAAATAATATTTTTTGATATTATTTCCCTATCAAACAAATAATTTAACAAATATTTTAAGACTTTAAAGACATTTTTATAATTATTATTTTAATAAATTTTTTTTAATAATTTTTTTTCTGCAATAATATTTTTAAATAATACTAAATTACTTAATATTTTTTTAAATAAAGTTTTTCTAATTATATTTT